CATAGAGAATTCAACTTCGCTTTTGTCCTGCTTGCAGCAAGTGGATGCAGAAATGTTGCTGAACGTTTCTATTGCCGTGACCAATGCTGTAGATTCCAGTATTATAATGACTCCTAGAGTTGAGACAACCTTTGGCTTCTTGCCAGAGTCGCCAGTTACACTTCTCTCACGGGGACAGATTAACCATGTAGACACTCTGAGGGGATTCAACAGTGATGAACTCGGAGGGTATATCCCTGCTTTTATTCAAACTCCCCACAAACCAATTACAATGGAACTGGCAAAACAAGTTATAGCACTTCAACTGAAACAGTTTACCAATCTACATCTTCAAGAAGTTTTAAAATTAATGCAGGAGACGTTTCTCACAGATACTTTAAACAGTGACTTACTACGGAGAGAAGCTTTGGATGCTGCGAACAGCTTTTCATTTGTGGCTCCAACTCTAGTAGAGCTAAACGACGTTGTGCGCACTGCCCCAGAAAAGAAACACTACATGTATGAGTTTAACCACAGACCAAGTTTCAGCAAAGCACCCCAGTGGATGTCAGCTCTACATGGGCAGGAGCTGTTCTTCGTTTTTGATGTCCAGTCGAAAGAGTGGACCGACAGTGGCTTTGGACCACCGGACGCTACGGACATTCTGGTATCTCAACAGATGATGGAACTGTGGACCAACTTTGCCAAGACGGGGAACCCAACGTCAACTGTGCCCAAAGGAGGAGTCATATGGAACCAGTACAGCCCAGGAACACCGTACTACCTTCGTATTAATTCTACTTCCGAGTCAAAACTATGGTCTAATCCCCGGGACGTTGACTTTTATCAGAAAATTCTAGAGAAGATGACTGGAAGCAAAATGCCAGTTTCTCCCATTATTGGGTAAAACTAAACGAAACAAATTGAGGCATTTTGAAATGTAAATGGTTATATTGTTCATTGTCTTACTTTTCACCGGGCTAAAATGATAAAAGCGTGTATTGGAAAGTGTATATCAAGCATACAGTATGTTCCTAAAGCAAACAAGACACTTCCAACATTAAAGCCAGTCTGAAAAAAAAATTCTGTAATATTTCATTTTTGAATTTATAGTCAAGTTCTGTTTCCCCATTATTTTAAACATTTAATGTTCAGTTGTGGAATCACTGATTAATGACAAACCAGCACGGCCTTAGGTTTATCTATTTTTGAACAGGCTTATAATTAGAACTGGAGTCTGCTCGATTAATCGAAGGCTTTGCGAGCAGCGGACAGCTTACGCCAGAGGCTTGCGAGAAGGCTTGTGCTTTGCTTTGTCTCCCGCTCGCTACCAGGAGGGGGGGGGGGGCTTCTGGTGAGTTGTGACTCGCGTATAGTCTTGCTGTACTGTGTTGTGACGTCACAAACGCTCAAGGCTGTGGGCTCAGTACATATTACAGAAGATTTTGGTTGTTTGCTTTGAGAGGCTTGCACCAAAAGTACAAGATTTTTTTTTCCATAGGCAGGTTGTAGAAAAGAAAAAGCTCTATTCAATGCCTTAAGATTTATAATGGATCAGCTATTCTTACGATGCAAAGGCCATATTTTATGTGCACAGGCCAAGCGCTTCGTCGTCGCACCTCAGTTCGATTCCCGTATGGGGAGAATTTTTTTTACTGAAAGCCTCCGTCTTTCTGCTGGGGCTTTGTTCCCTCTCAGCCCAGGTTGGCCCTGACATTGGGTTGAAGTAGGCCTAGCCTGTCTCCTAAATGCTCTGTATTGTGTAAAACATCTACAAAATAGGCTACATACATACGATACAAAAGCCAATCACAATGACCCCTAGAGTTTTCAATTCTAAGGTAATCTAAATCTACTTATTACTACCAGAAATCTAGGTCTCTGTTACTACAATATCACGCTTCCCCTCACTTCATCCACTCGCTCAGCTGATCAACGGCAAGAAATTAGAAATAGCTTCAACTCTCTTCGTCTTGCCCAAAAACAAGCACAGCCTCTCCCTTCCTCCACGGTTCAGAGTTCACACTGCGAGCGGTCTTGCTGCTCGCTGCTGCAGCAAGTGGCTTACCAGGTTGTGAGCCAGTCATAGGAGCCAAAGCAAATCATGGGAGCCAAGAGACTTGCAGGGCTGAGAGCAAGTCATGGGGCAATAAGCAAGACAGGGGACGCAAAGCAATTTTTGCTGTGCTGCGAGCAAGATTTCAGACTTGACGGCCCACCGCTGCTCGCAAGCCTTCGATTGATGGAGCAGACTCCAGCTCTACCGCGCAGTGACACTGTGAGCAGAGTCTCTCTCTCTCTCCCCCTCTCTCTTTTTGAGACGTAAGTGGCTTCGCGGATTGCAAGCAGGGTGGGGAGGATGAGGGGGTCTGACACGAGTGGCTTCGCGGATTGCTAGTTGATGTGGGCTTGAAGCTTAGGCTAGACTTAACTTATCATGCTGGTGATTTGATTTGATGATTTGACCCAGTGATTTGAGGCTTGTGATTTGAACTAGGGGCTTGCGAGCACGAGCGGGTTTGCTACCGGGGTACAGCTCTACTTATCATGTCCCTGCATGTATTATGAGAATATCTTATATATTAAAATGGAGATCTATACAGTATAGTATTTACTCAATTTCTCAGTCTGGTATGGTGTTGCATGGGTTGACGATTGCTTAAGAATTATGAAGCTATTTCATGGTGGAATCTCCGATTATAAGTCTGTCTCACAGAAGGATCGAGCCACACTTTTCATCATCTATGTGCACTACACATACAACACCGGGTCAAGAACAAGCTAATGGATTTCCGACCAGGATCCCCAGCATTGTACAAGTTATATTTTAGTGTGTCCACTTAATCTCAAAAGTTGCAATTTTTATGACATGTTGAATAATAGTATCATCAGCATACACGGAGAACATGCTCCTCTTTTCAACATAGTTGAGACGTGTTAGATACGTAAAAATAGCTTTGTTTAAAGAAAACAATGAAAGTATTTTTTAAAAACTTTTCAACCTCATGTTGACTATGTTGACTACAATAAAAGAATTAAAACCTCCTTAAGTTCAAAAGCAATTTTATGGCCAAAATCAGTGAAGATAACTTAAATAAGAAACTGCAACAAGCGAACTTCGAAGCTTGCAATCTGTTGTGGATGTTTTACGCGGCCATTAAAACAATTATTTTAGAACTAAGCTGCTTCGACCCTGCCTGTAAAAACCTTCCCAGATTTAAGGGAATGCACAAAAATGCCAAGAGAAAGACAGAGATTTTTTTTCTAAAAATACCGCCCCCCCCCTCCCCCTCCAAAAAAACCCACAAACAACTGTAGTAATAGAAGCAAATCTCTACACTGTACGAGATAGAGAGTGTGACTATATAGAACGGCCTGCAGTAAACAAAAGTTAGTAATAAAAGAGGTATTTCTAGATGCCGCAATATGGAAACAATAATTGCACAGACTATCGTACCATTCACAGCCTACAAGACTGCCTCCTTTGCGACTGCTTTCATGAAATCAATCTAGACCTATTTCCTTCTCCTTTCCTCTCAGTCTTAGCAGAGACTCTAAAATATATTTTTAGTGTCTCTGGTCTTAGGTACCTGACCGTAAGCTCTTTTCAAAAGCCAACGAACAGTGTACGGAAAATAATGGTCCTAACACAAAAGCACACTGTACTTCTCAAAAAGACTGATATATCAGCTAGCAGTAATATACTGGCGACGAAAAGAAAGGTAGAACTTTTTAATTGTGTATAAAATCTAGATCTAGCCTATTTTACGTTACGCTTCACCTTCCAAATAAGTAATACTAAGTACCCTGAAAAGTCAGTGAAAAGTAGGTTATGCTGTAAAAACATATATTTGGAGTTTCAATTAGTGTTCACAGCACCCGAGTGAACCCCCCCTGAAAATCCAAATTATTGGCCTGTCCACGTGACGGATTTGTTTCTATTCTTTGTTTTATTTAAAATGAAGTTTATGTCTATATTTACATACGCATACTCATAATGAGCAATTTATAGGTTTGGATGCTATGAATAATTTATTGTCATGGTCATGTATGCACCCAAAGGGCAGTATCTCTATAATTATTGAATTATATTTGTGAAACTTCACACTTTTGTAGCCTAAAACTTCCGAACTACTTACCTTTCGAATTTGACAAAATTATTGGTGGTTCAGAATCATTTAAAGTGTGCACAGTTTCATTGAGGAGCCTGAAGTCACTGTAGTTTAATTTTCAGTTTTTCATTAGTTTTGTTTAGATCTTATCTTGGGAAAGTCCGTCTTCTAAGACGCCATTGTAAACAAGCGAGTCTTCTGTTCACTCGCCGTGCGCAGATTTCACACCTCTGAAATTATGGAGTGTACAACCACGAAAGTGGAATAGGGAATCAATCAATACATCTATTATATAATATTTGGCAACTTGGAAACACACGTGTCACTTTTCTCTCAAGATTTATAGCTCCATTGCAGTAGAAAGTAAAACGAGTAGGCCAATATGACTTTCAGTTGATGTTAATGCACCGATCATTCATTTCATCGAAAGGGGCCCAGCTAGTTTAATATAAGGCGGAAATATAATTAAATTTTAGTTCTACGTTAAATTTTAAAAAAATAGTTTTGTTTGGTCTCTGGCCTACAGGAAGGCAAAGCTAAATTCCATGCACCTCGGAAAATTTTGAAAGGAGCTATTTTTTGAAGCAGACAGACGGAAGTGAAAGTGTTTTAGGACACGTTTCAGTTCCTATATTTCCAGTGACATTTCCTGTTAGCCTACTTGCCCCTAAAATCCCTTGGAAATATCAGCGGAGTTAAGAAAAGACTGGTCTTTTTATCAAGAGGCTGACGTAGGACTCACATGGTCTAAATGCACTAAATCTCGTCAATCTTTAAGTTTACATAGTCCAGTAGTCAGTGTCGAATGGTATAGATGTTAGTAGTAGCTTGTGACTGCTTATGGAGTGGCCCGAGATGGGTGAGCAGGCTATTTCTGTGGCAGTGAAACCTTTTTGAATGTTAGGCATACTGTCCATTGGTGATTATGAACGTCTTTTTACATTTTATTTATGAGGTTTAAGTTTATGGGTGAATTTGACAGCGACAATGTTTCAAAATTAGGAAGGGAAGCAGTGATTATTTGATTATATAGACGCTTCGCCACTGAAAGACCTATGTCAAATTTAGGTTGATACTTTGACTTTTTTTAGTTTCTTTAGTCTTATCCGCATTTTACACATGACTGGTACATGGTCACTATCACAGTCTGATCCTGGCAGTGATTTAGATGATCTAAAATGTTTCTGAATAAGCATGAAGTCTATTTGATTTCTACTTCTATCTCCAGGACTCTTGCAAGTGTATCGTCTTCTTGGGTGATTTTCATACCAGGAGTTTAATATCATAAAATTATTTTCTCTGCACCATTCTACCAGTCGTTCCCCACGTTCATTCTCTTTACCTAGTCCCTATGGCCCAACTATATCTTCTATACGTGTACTTCCTATTTTGGCATTAAAGTCTCCCATGACTAGATCTATCTTTACATCTTGTGATTTTAACTGTTTCATTGCCTTATCAAGGTCTTCATAAAAAGTCTCAATTTCCTCGTTGTCCTGCTCTGATGATGGTGCATATATTTGGATGAAACCTATGTCAAAAGGTTTTCCTTCTAATTTAGCCACGATGACTCTATCTGACACTCCCCAAAAACCTTTGATGCTCTTTGCTGTTGCTTCGTCAAATAAAATTCCGACTCCTCTTTCATGGGTTTTTTCTCCTGAATATATAATTGTTTTGGATCCTCTTTTAATCAAGCCTGCCCCCTCCCATCTAACTTCTGAAAGGCCTAAATATATATAATTATCTGATTTGCCTTTCTGGCACATTGTTCTTACATTCCATGTGGCTATGTTAAGTTGCTTATTTTTGCAGCTAGTAGTTGGATGACGATCGAGCGCCACCTGCTGCCCGTGGCGGTCCCTTCCGAGCGGGGAGTTCAGAGCTGGATCATGAACCCCCTTAACGGTGTTATCTGATAAATGAATGTACGAGATGTGTCTCAGAATAAAGTTTCCCTGTCATGCTGTCCTCACATATAATTATAAATCACCTTGTATTTGGTATAAAAGGAAAGCTTATTCAAATACCTATTCAACGTAGGAACCATCAAGTTCAAGACATTTCTCCTTTGGATGTTCTCAGCGGTCAAAGACGGTGGTCAGTGATCGTTTGTGCAAGGTCCCGAGTGCCTTTCTCATAGCCTCTTGAATCTGGTCCTCATCCTCAAATCGCCGACCTCGCAGCATTTTATTCACCTTGGGGAAGAGGTTGAAGTTGCATGGGGCGAGATCAGGCGAATTGGGTGGGTGCACCATTGATTCCCACGAGTAGCCCTCAAAAAGCTCGTTCACAGCTCTGGACTTGTGAACAGGCGCGTTGTCATGATGCAGGATGACGTTTTCTTCATGCAAAGCGGGTCTTTTTTTCTGGATCGCAGGTCTCAGCCCGTCTTTGAGGACGAACCTGTAGTAGTCACCATTGACAGTTACGCCAGGTGTGACTAGCCAGCTCAGTATGAAGCCACTCATGTCGAAAAAAAACCCAATGTGCATCACCTTTCTCTCCCCATGTTTTCTGTGTGCGCTTCATCTTTCATGTCAGACCTCCCACCTTCAACCTCCCTGATCCATTTCCTTACTGTTTGAATTGATGGGGCATTATTTATTCCCTGTTAGTTTGTATAGATCATAATGGGTTTCAACTGCAGACTTGCTGAGAAAAGTTGAAAATTTGATTACAACTCAGACATCGTGGCATGAGGAAGGTAGCACCAATGTTTTGCTCAGCCATTTTTCTCGGATTTGCCTTGGACAAAGTACAGAAGTACACCACACTTGACACGTCACAGCTCTATGACCCGTTCACCAATGCACTTGCAATTTGGCGTTGAGATTTCTTAGTCATGGAGTCATGACCTCACAAACTTTAGTGGCTGTTGGTTGCGTACTTTGAGTTTTATTGAGGAGGGAAACTTTATTCTGAGACAGACCTCGTACTTTTCCATGACTATTCTTGGGATATTACAGGAGTAGTTTCCCGTTCCATACTGTCGGGTTGTGTACAGTTTTCTCTGCTAGCCTTTGTCATCCACTGACAACCCACAAGGCAGTGGGGCTTTGGTAGGGGCTACACCCCCCAAATTCCAGATTCGGCTCAAAATTATGGAATTTGAGTTGTAGGCCCTTTAACTTCCTCAGCCTCTCCTACAGCTATTTCATCGCATAAGAACCCCCAAAAGCCTAATTTCTTCCTATACCGGGCATGTTTGTCACCACCATTTACTTATGAAGTCAATATTTTACTTTTCTCTATCGGCTGTTTTCTCAAAAAGAGATTTTTCTCCTTATTTTGTTTAAATAACTCCACCATTTTTAATCCAATCCTCATGAAATTTTCACAGAATGAAGAGACGATGTAATATTAAAAATTAGTCTGTTGACATGTTGATATTATTATATTGAATAGGTTTTTGTTGGTGGTGTCTGGAGTGTGGATTTCCACGGATTTTTTGCAAACTTGAATACTGCCTCTGGAAAAAATTCATTAACAGTTTTACATCTCGTTTAGGAAAAAATTAACAGACAAGTTTTTAGATCTAATGTTTGCTAATATGCATGCAAAAATACAATCAATTTCCATAAACGACAAGTGCGCTGTTCATTACTTAAGACATGTAAAAAAAAATCCAATATGGACGCCGTATCAATGGAAACGAAACTTTTTTTCTCAGATTTGATAGCGGATCTTAAGACTCATCAATGGAAACGAAACTTTTTTCCTCAGATTTGATAGCGGATCTTAAGACTCCTTACTATGCTTTTTAAAGTACGAAATATGGTAAAATTTGGTCCACTATTAAGCGAGATAGCCTTCAGATTTAGCCCCCCCCCCCCCTTTCAGGAGAGAAAGGTGTGGAGCAACTGCCAACAAGAGAGTAACAAGGAGTGAGAGAGAGAGAGAGAGAGAGAGAGAGAGAGAGAGAGAGAGAGAGAGAGAGAGAGAGAGAGAGAGAGAGAGAGAGAGAGAGAGAGAGAGAGAATGCAGGAAAAAGAAATTTATGGAGAAAATATTATACCTATGCTGAAATCAAACAGCATCCATTAATTATGAACAAGAAATGTTTGTCCTTTGCCCTACGAGAGTGTACTACTTTATTTTGGCTTTTTCTATCCTCTTATACCACAAGGTGTCGAGGGCGCGTGCACTTACTGTCGGACGTTGGCCAGGTGTTTGGTGTTTGGAACGTCTTATTGTTCCTTCGGAGGGTATGTTGGACTCCGTCGATCCTTCGTTTCTTTTTTGTGGCCTTATTTTTACTTTAAAGCCATCGATTCGCATGTTTCGAGACTTTAAAGACTGGCTCTTGTGGTCCCATTCTCATATCCAAACCACTTTGTTTTTGGTCTCTCTCTGTATATCTTGTTCTATTCGAAACACGCTTGACGTCTTGGGTTTTCGTTTCTTTGTTTTCTTCTCGTGATATTCAACGTTTTGCAAAGACATTTAATTTCATGTGTGCAAAATTGACGTAACATAATATAATTAGAGATCATTTCGGGCCTTTTGTCACAATTTAGATCATTTATGAGTCAGACTTTATCGATCCTGCTTATTAAGGTATACCCAACCTCGAAGGCTCTCATAGTCTAGAGGTTACGGTGTTTGCCTCCCATTCAATAGGTCGCTGGTTTGAAACCTGACAGCGACGGAACATTTTCTTTTCTATAATTTTCTCCTTTAACCTCCATTCCTGCTCTCTCACGACTTTCTGCGTCTGCTTTCGTCTCCACTTTCTTACCCTACCCCCCCCCCCCCCTTTTGGTCCCCTCCTCTCAGCTCCTACCTCTTTCTGAAGCCTTTCTGCTGCCACTCCTTGGCTCTTTCTTATTGCTGTCTTTCAGCCACACACCTTGTCTTAGGGTAGGTGAAATCTAACACCTTGCCTTCTCGAATAAGGGAAAAAAATCCCCGAGTTGTTGTGTGCAAGTTGAGCACGTTAAAGATCCCGTGGTGATACAAAATCGATAAGAGCAGGCTTCGGCTGTCACCCTGGAAATATTCAACAGTAATTCCAACTATAATATAAAAAATGTTTAATGTGTCTTTTGCGCTCGTATAACCGTATGCAGTTGCAGGCGCCTTAAAACACTTACCAAAGCAACCAATACCCGGCTTGAGAGCATCGTCACCACCCCCCCCCCCCCCCCAAATAGACGGACAAACTAAGAAATAGACAAACGAATAAAATCAAACAAAACAGCTAAGAAATCACATGTGCAAAACGCCTGACTAGAGCTTCTTTTCTGCTTACAATGGCGACGTACCTCACAGATACTCCAGAGGCAAGGTTTTTTTTTTAGCTTGTTGAATGAACGAGAAAGTTGGAAAAACATTGGTATGGGAAAAATTATCTTAGATTATCTTGTATGATTGGTTTAAAAATAGTTGGTGAGTGTGTATGTGTGTGTATATGTGTGTGTGAGAGAGAGTGCGTGTGTGTTCCTGTGTGTGTATATGTGTGTGTATGTGTTTGCGTGAGCACTTTTGTGTGTGGGTGTCTAATGTGTGCGTATGTTAAGCGTGTGTTTGGGGGGCTGATTAGATGGTATACGTGTGTATTTGCGCATGTTTTAAGTTCGGTAAAAAGCTTTACGACGCTCGCAACTGCTTAAGGTATTATGAGCGCGCAGGGCACAAGATGGTTGTTTTCCTGTTATTTCATGGCACGGCTTGGTTTTACGTTGCGAGTCGAAATGGTTGAGGTATCTAAAGATAATAATATAAAAACTCAGTTAAACAACAATAATACATATTTTAAAATAACACTAATTGCATCTTTGTCTAAAGACCAGTGGTCTTAACAAAATCGAGAATCTTGCATCGAACAACAATGGAAAACACATTTTTCAAATTAGTTCATTTAAGCTGAGGTGCAATAACTTGTTTTTTTTGCCACTTCCATTGTAAGCGGTTTTGGGGGATTTTGGTAGAAGACAGCTACTCCAACCTTATCACTGTTGAATCTCCTCAGAGTGTCTACATGATGGTTAATCTGTCTCCGTTAGAGCAGTGTAACTGGCGACTCTGGCAAGAAGCCAAATGTTGTCTCAGCTCTTGGAGCCATTATAATATCGGCATCTACAGGTTTGGCCACAGCGATAGAAACATTCAGCACCCACTTGCTGCATACAGGACAGAAGTGAAGTTCAATTCTCTAAGTCGTCACACTTGCTTGCCATGCTGATCAACCTAGCTGTCATTCGAGAAGTCACTTGATTTGCGGGGAATTGGAAGGCCCATGGAAAAAGAGAAACACCGCTTTCCATGACCGCTCTGTGGAACATACCTTTGGGGAGAGGTGACAACGTCAGGAGAGAGACACTTCCAGAGCCAGCATTTTGTCCAAAAATGGTTACTTCATTTGGGTCACCTCCGAAAAAAGCAATATTATTTTTTACCCATTTAAGAGAGGCAATTTGATCCAGCATTCCGTAATTTCCCAGCAATGTGGCGTCTTCCGTTGACAAGAATCCAAAAAGATCAAGTCTATAGTAGATGGTAACCATGACAACACCTTTTGTTGACAGCGACGTGGCATCATACTGGAATCCTGATCCCATAATGTACGCTCCACCATGTATCCACACCATGACGGGCATTAGACCTGTAGCATGGAGTAGAAATGTATGTACAAACAGTCCTCATTTATAGGTGGAATGTCTTCCTTGTGTAGAGTCACTGTAGGTACTGCTCGTTTTAAGCACTGGTTCCCAAAGGTAACTGCGTCTCTGACTCCTTCCCACGCGTTTGGAGTAACAGGCCCTTTGAAACGTAGCTTCCTAAAAAAAGTAATTAGCCCTTCTTAGGTGTGCCATGACACTCATAATAGACAGGGAGAACAAATGTTGGACATGCAATCGCGTTTACTGTTATTCATATCGTAACAGATTTCGAGATTTTGGAGAGACCCGAAGGAGATAATTAGCAGTTTGCCAGTCTGGATCTTCCAAAAGTTCTAAATTTGATGCAGTCGACGTTCGTAACAGATACTTTAATAAATCATGGCTTACTGCATAGAGAATCTCTGGATGCCATTAACAGTTTTTCATTTGTGGCTCCAACTCTGGTAGAGCTAAACGACGTTATGCGCAATGCCCCAGAGAAGAAACACTACATGTATGAGTTAAACCACAGACCAAGCTTCAGCACGGCTCCTCACTGGATGTGAGCTTTACATGGACAGGAGCTCTTCTTCGTTTTTGATGTTCAAGCGAAAGAGTTCACCGACAGTGGCTTTGGACCACCGGACGCTAAGGGCATTCTGGTATCTCAACAGATGATGTGGACCAACTTTGCCAAGACAGGGAACCCAACGTCAACCGTGCCCAAAGGAGGAGTCACGTGGAACCAGCAGAGCCTAAGAACACCATACTACCTTCGTATTAATTCTGCTTCCGAGTCAAAACTATGGCCTAATCCCCGGGACGTTGATTTGTATAAGAAACTTCTAGAGATCATGGATGAAAGCATAATATCAGTTTCTCCCATTATTGGGAAAAGTAATACTGATTAATGATGTCTATTTGAAATAAAAATAGTATTTATTTTTGTACTCCTTTCTTTTCAACAGGGATAGAGTTATTATAAAGCCTATGGTTTATTTTTAAGTGAAGTGTACATCAAGAATAAAGTATTGATATTCCTAAATCACACGAGGCAATCCAAACATTAAAGCCAGTTTTAAATTTGTTCTGAGGAATTTCATTTTTGAAATTACAGAAAAACTCCTCTTCTTTCCCTACTTTTGAGAAGTTATGCTCATTTGTTTGATCGCCGATTGGGGACGAGCCAATGCGTAATGCATTGGGTTCCTTTATAATTCGAACACTTTCTGGATGATGGTACGTTAAGACGGGTATTTAAAGAATGTAATTACTTAATGTCTCATGGTATTTGCATTTGTTAGAAAATTGTGAAGCTATTACATGGATCTCAAATTCAAAGTCTGCCAAACAACTTGGCCGAAATAGGCTGGAGCACAGCTATATGAACTATTCGTTCAACATCGGGCCAAGGTTCATGGGTTTATAACTAGGATCTCCGGCCTGGCGAAAATTATGTGTTTAGTGAGCCCGCTTTATTTCTAAAATTGTAATGTTGGTAGCATAATGAATTCTAGTATCATCAGGATGCTTAGAATGTGTACTCCTTTTCAACATTGCCATTGGCGTATGAGACGTGTAAATATAACGTTTAAGCAAACAATAAAAACGTGATTCGAACTCATGTTGATAATAACGAAGGAGTTTAATTGTACTGACGAAACAGTCTATAGCGTGTTCACTTTCATTTGTCAAAGTGGGGAAAAGCAAATCACTCTGTTAAATCTTTTCAAGTTTTGCATGAGGGTATTAAAAGTTGGATGACTAACAGAATCTAAAAACCCATTATTGAAGCCCAGTGTCAAATAAGTTTTCTTTAATGCTAGCCTAGAACGGGTAAATAAATGATAGGTTATTTACAGCATTACGCTAAAAATCAATAGGTGGACCCATTTCCGTCAACACCAAACGTTATAGCATGCCTACGAAACATGCTCTAACCGACGGGTGAATACTTTCAAGTCGCATGTGGTGATGTCTTGATGGTCTTGGGGGAGAATAACAATGTGATTGCCCTGAAATTTGAGGGCAGGCAATGTGGTGTCGCTGTCACAAAAGAAGCAAATTTTAGGCTCGGTTGGTGCAAATCATAATTTATTGCAATGATTCTCTGTATGCACCCAAAAGGCGGCGTTTACTATACGACCTAAGTAAAGATACGATTTCAAATTACCTACACTGATATTTAAGAAAAGAAAGTTTTATTGCTGGCCTACAGGGGAAACATATAAAGTTTTATTCGTCGGGGGAATTTATAAATGAGCTATATAATAATTAACGCGGACGGACAGAAGTGAATAAGCTATAGGATGCCTTTCTCAGTTAAATCAACTTCCTGTGTCATTGCGTGTTGCTGCTCGTGCACTTTCGTCTGACCGCGATTAAAACAAGATGAAATCTCTCCACTAATTTTCTCAGATCTTTGCATACGGTCTTAAGTTTGGATGACCAAATGAATCTAAAAGCCCACTTCTTAAGTTTACTGCAAACTGAGGTTCCGACACGTTTTCTTTCATGTAAGCCTAAAGCGGGTAAAAAAATAATAGGGGATTTACAGCACACACGTAGAGAATTAAAACTTTGATATATTTTCCTTAACACCACATTTTAACGTTTGCTAAAGAAACACGATTTAAGAGACGGGGCGAGAATATTTGAGACTCGCGTGGAGCACATGGAGACGTCCAGACAGCTGGGATATGAAATCTAGAAGTTTACACTGAAATATGGGGGCAGGATGGTGTCACTGTCTCAAAATAAGCAATTTGTAGGCAAGGTTGCCGTAAGTCATATTTTAGTGATCTTGAGTATGCATCCAAAGAGTGGTTCTTAACATAAGACCCAAAGAGAAAAAACTTTTTTATTGCTGTTTCAAGATTAACATTTTTTTGTTTGATCACTGGCCTAAAGAAGTGTCATGCAGAGTTTCGTAGGCGCAGGTAAATTAATAAATAAGCTAGAATTTTTAGCGCAGTCAGATGAAAGTGACAAGCTCAATTTGCCCTCAAATTGGTCTTGAAAATACCAGCGGTGTTAGGAAAAGAATGGTCTCTTATCATGAGACGGACATAAGCGTCCTATCTCGCTAACCTTTGAACTGAATACGGTCATTAAAAGTCAAAGTCGGTGCAGTGAGGTATAAAAGGAGATGTTGGAAGAGTCAGCAACAGCCTCAAGTTTTGATTTGTCATTTCAACTGTAGTCATTATTATAACTTACGGTTACAATGGCGGCTACCTGGTTACTCCAGGCTCTCTACACCTCCCTACTAGGCAGTAGTGGTCTTCAGGGAGGACAAGGTGGAGGACAGGTAGGGAGGAATGACGTGTACCTCATGGCCAACACCAGCTACGGTACAGTCAGGGGAAAGGTGGACTTCACAACTCAAGTACCTGTGGCCAAGTTCTACGGAATTCCGTTTGCAAAACCTCCGACGGGTGAGAAAGTTTAAGAATTAATTCAATTGTGTAATCTCCAAAGAAGTCTTATATGACGTATGAAATCCCAAATCCAAACAATTTCTCCTTGTTTAATCCCTGTGGAGTTTCATCAGAGACAAATTTTCTCTTCTCGTTCGAAACTATAATATTTGGCGGAAGACATATCATCGTTTTGTTCCTTTTTCTCTGCTGAGAAATGAATGAATTTAAATAAGCAGCTCTGCAGTTATACTGACAATGTTTGTAGAAATGTGTGTACACTCACACACAAACACACACACACACACACACACACACACACACACACACACACACACACACACACACACACACACACATACACACTCAAACACACACAAACACATGGGCATGCCCCACACGCTTACAAAATATCTATCTATCTATCTATCTATCTATCTATCTGTCTATCTATCACAAAATATCTATCTTATCTATCTATCTATCTATCTATCTATCTATCTATCTATCTATCTATCTATCTATCTATCTATCTATCTATATGTCTTCTATCTACCTCTGTGTTTGTGTTTGGTAAAAGTTTCTCGGCTGTCGCAGCTACATAAGGTCATATGCACTCTGTACACAGGGTTTGTTTTTACATGTAAGTTCGTGCAGCAATGTATAATTTATTAAAACATTATTTACTTTTCTAATAAAGACCAAAGGTCTTAACAAAATCGGGACTACTGTTGGGATCAAGGGTGGAATACACATTCTTCGAGTTAATACATTAAAATTATTTTCTTCGGGGCTCTCCAAAGTCCAGACATTCTACCAGGAAGTGCCTGATAGCAAAATCAGTAGAGTATTTAATACAAAATGGCTCTTCATCTCCCAGTATGAGATATCTATGCGTCAGGGAGATGTGTCCACTACTCAGTCTAGTTAAAATGACTTTGTCTCTCCTGGAGATACCCGAAGGTTTTCGTGGGCCCATGATGTTATGGAGTTTATTATTCATATTTTTTCGCTCCAGTGTTCCTCTAAAAAACTGGAGGTATAGTTTTATTATTTAAAGTCTATCTGTCTGCGGGAGAGAGTGTGTTCTCCATTGATCCCAACAGGAGGAACAAGGATTCCTTCACCAGAAGATCGGCTTGCTCGTTGCCTCGGGTGTTTACATGGCTAAGTAACAAAGCAAACACAAAACATTTTCCCTGTTCAGTCAAGGAGTGAATCCTCAACTGGTATGTAACTATTTTCAAGTTTAAAAGTATGAGATTGGTGAGTGAAATTGGGTAACATTAATATGGTTCTTCAGATTATGAAGGCATGCCAGCTAGTCTCCAGGGCCATGGTGATTATGACGGAAGCCTTTCATGTGATAAATGGATGATGTGAACCAGGACTGTGTTTTTGTTTTATCCCTTGCCCATTTATATGAGATGACGCCATCTGATTAGTTTTTTAAAAGTGCGTAAGATAGTGTCCAATAGTGTATTTACAGGCATACTTAGTATGACAAGTATCTGTTTCAGATAGAGATTAATCTGAGAGCAATTGTGAATTTAGACAAAATGGTGGTGATGTGTGATGATGTGGGATTGCGTTTAGGTAATGTTAGCGTTAGTCTATCTTCCTTTTTTCTAATGAGTCACGAAGGAAGTGGGCACCCTCTATCCCGCGTTTCCTTTACGGGCACCGTGAAGTTTCGAAATGGTGGGCACAGTCTCTGCTAAAGTAACATTGTAAGTGTTAGCCTAATCTATCGGGCCAAGACAAGTGTCGAGAGGAGCTATGTAGGAAGATAGTATAGTGGCAGGTATGTTGTGGTATTTGTAAGCGGGTTGTAGGTAGCAAGTTGGCATACAGATTACGAACTTTAAAAATGCAGCATTCTACTCACTGATCATTTAACTCGAATATTCTTTTCGTGTCCTATTAAGATTCTGACACAGAATCCTCGAACCCGAGTCGAGAGGGCACAATTTACACTTAATATTGTATCCCCTCGCCTCTGGGGGAACGACCTCCCAAATCAATTACCCTTTGTCTGAATCCCCACGTTCTCGTCCAATTTTGGTATAATTTCAATGCTAACGTTTGGAAGCAATTCCTACATTTAACAAGCCAATATTTTGCAGATGCTGGCTAAACATGTTTTGAAGGATAGAAATGACTAGAGTGAAAGCGGGAGCGAGAGAGAGAGAGAGAGAGAGAGAGAGAGAGAGAGAGAGAGAGAGAGAGAGAGAGAAAGGGAAGGAGAGAAGAGAGGAGGGATGGCGAGAGTGGAGAGGCTTAGTGGCAGGCAATGAATGTGACAGGGATGATAAAAAGATATTGGGCTGGAGTAGGTAAACAGATAGATAGACAGCCATACCGAGACAGAGAGGGGGATAGAGAAAGAAGGACAGAGAAATAAATAAGGGGATTGGAGAGAAAGGAAGAGATAGAGAGAGACAGGGGGGGGGGACATGTAGAGATAATGAAAAAAGTGAAGAGAGCAAGGGAAAGAGAGGAAACTATATAATATTATACAATATATAAATTGTGTGTTAACAATAATATGGTGAACAGGGTGCTGAGGGAAGGGTATACTATAGAGACTTGCCATCTTTTCTCCCAAACACAAGGTGTCCCTTAACTTTGTCTGAGGGGGTGTTGAAAAGTGTTATAATACGATAACATTATATACAACTATGTAACTAAAAGCCCATTACCTTTTCCTTTCGTTCATATTATTTTGTGCACTGCTGCAAGCAGCCTATCAAAACAATGTTCTCCCCACCACACGAGCTATCGATGAACCCTAGGTACAACTCCTTGAAACAATAACATGGACATGAATATATATATGGAAACAGGGTCGCCGAAAGCATCAGGAAAATAATAGGGAAACGTTGTTTTCGACGTGCATTGTGTTTTTGCGTTGTATAGCGTGCAATATATTGATATTAAACATTACAGAAACTGTTTCCTGGGTTCAAATTTGATATAAAACATTATAAAAATGTACTTTCTATCCCCATACCTCATTTTACTGGCACACGTTTTTTGCTATCAACATAATATGATTCCCTGTTTTTACTGCACTATTTTTTAGTCCGACTTCCTTGGCGTTTGTCATCGGAAAATGTGTATTTGTTATTCGGAAGACCAGCTGAAACACATAATTATTTTCCGAAAGCCCCTTAATCGTGAGCAGTGGATAAACATAATAATATGTTCGACAAAGTCTGTTACACCACAATATTCAAATACTTCTGAAGATTTTATGCCCATCCCATTCCAGCAAGATACAGGGTGATCCAAAAAAAACCCTGTAAAACTTTCTTTCTGGATATCTCGCCCAAAATGTGTACTAGAATGTTGTAATTTGGAACAGAGAGTATTCATTCAAAAGAAATTTGTTTGACACAATATTCACAAAGAAGAAACGTATTTTTGAAAACGGAAATGCCGTTATAAAAACCTCCAGTAAAAGCAAAATGTACCAATTTAAAAGATCTTGTAAAGCAGGTCACGGAATGCTTGGTTTATTTGTTTTTCCTCTTCATTTATTTTTAAAATTTAATCTTTCCTTCCCTGTAACCTTTGAACAACATTTCTTTTCTCCCACAGTGTTTTAAAAAATGTATGTTAAACTCTGAAATTTGGAGCACAAATGGCCTATACGTCCTCCTTTGGACTCGGCACATTTTAACGCGTCCTTCGTAATGTTCAGTGGAGGCCAAACACAAGGATCCATTCAACCATGAGTACTCAAAGCCACTTATTACACTGTATACCTTACAGTATAGAGCTCTTTTTAGAGACAATATAATGTGGGTGGGGGAGGTTGCCCAAATAGCGTTTGTGGAGTTGATATAACTTGAAAGAGGGCAGGCTTTGCCAAGGAACCAAATGGCAAAGAGGAAGTGTTCACGCTTTTCAAGACGATCGAGGAATCATGAACACATTGCTGTCCTCTGATAGCTTTGCGAATGGTCACCATTGTACGGTCGTGGATGAAGATCGGCCTTGAGAATGCGGACCGTAGAGAAGTAGGAAAGTCATTGCTGCAGACATTGTCTACGGACAGACGTGTCATATGGGGTTCATCTACTGAATTCTGGTGAAGTTTAAAGGGGTGCAAACGGTGTGTGTTTGACTTGAAATGGTTGTTTTGTCTGGGAATTTTTAGTTCTGATTCTCTACTGGTCTTTACTGATTGACTGTTTTCACGCTTGACATCAAAGAAGGCCTTAAGGCCACTTTAACATTATTGTCGTCCCTTGTGCGAAACTTACGAAATGAGTTGGTGAGGAAATGTTCAATACAAAAAGCTCTCTTCTCTCTACTTATCGTAACACATTCTCAGCAGGCAAAGGAAACTTGATAAAAACTAACTGCAAACTTCTGTTGGCCTGCTAGACTTGTTGGGATTTATAGTGGTAGGCCTAATGCAATCAAGTGGGTCGTGCTACAAAATGGGGACATGGCTGAAAATGGTTTGGGGGGGTTTTCGCGCTGTGTAGGGCTAAACTATTCAGTTGATTTATCTAAAATGAATATCAGACAAATTCCTTTTGGCTTCCAAATGTTGTGTACAAATTTGAAACGCAAAGCTTCAGTGTAAAGGGAAATATTAACAAAAAAAGTGGTACAGGTTTTTGTTAAAAATCACTTTGTATTTATTAGGAATATATTGTGAAATAAAATGGAGGAGGCGAAGAGGAGATTCTTGCGTGGCCATATGTGCTAGACTATACCTATCAGCAATGTCCACTCCAAGCTTTTTCAACCAAAATGTCTTACCACATACCTGGACCTGCTCATGTCCCAAGACTCCCTATTATTGTTAATAAGTACGAGAAGACGTTCAGCACTAATTCCTCCACATGCAGCTGCTGTACACTGACTGTGCTGCAGTGTGTAGTTCTAATTCAGCAGTTCTGTCCATGTTTTGGTAGGCCATTGATTAGAGCACACTAATCAAAGGCAAAGCGTGCATAAATTCCTATTATGTTAATAAAAAGAGGCTGCATAAGAATGTCAGTCATTTCTTTGAGCGGAGTATCACTTAGATGCAGCCTCTTTTTATTAACATTATTAACAATAAGATACGTTACAAAGGTAATCCGCTTTTTCTGAAATATTGGATGAGAAGAGGAATAAAACACACTTACCAGGTTTACGGCTGGGTACCGGTGAAAATAAAAGATGAAATGAAGCACATAATAGAAATTTGTGTACCCTATAATAACAGACTCCTTTTATATTATTTAAAACTTCTTTTTTTTATTGCCATCAGTTCAACAACAAGGACAAAAAGAAGTGGACTGGCGCAGCGCCCCCGTTTGACTCCACGCTCTGTGTTAAACTACCCCCCCCCCCCCCCCCCACCCGCCATTTTGCACACAACACTATGTGTTGGTGATAATGGATTTATTCATATTAATAAACTGATCACCAAAATTGAACTTTCTTAAAGAAGCTAACATTTTCCTCTTTTGATTGGTGTCAAACGCGCTTTGGAAGTCTAAGGAGACCACCATTCCGAGGATATTATATTCTGAGGAGTTAAAAATAGCATAATTAAGAGTTCTGATATGTTCTGCAATTGACCTTCCCTTCAGAAAACCTGACTGGTCATGGCTGATTACATTTCCTATAATGCTCCGAAGGCGTAGAGCTATCGCCTTTGAAATGATTTTGTAATCCATATTTGTCTAAGTGATTGGGCGCCAGTTTTTACGATCATCCCCTCGAAGATCATTTCCCGTATACAAAAAGGACTGTGTGTTAGCACTTGTGTTATTTTTTAATTGTACCTGGTGGACCACTAGGGGAGTTTTAACGTATGCAACTTGCACACGGGACCTCCGAGATTTTTCGCCCTTATCCGAGAAGGCTGAGTGTTCGATCATTCCCACCCTAAGATCAGGGGTGTGGCTGATAGAAGGCAGGATAGTAGAAGGAGTCAAGAGGAGAGGAGAGAGGAGCTCAGGGGTTGGGCTGGTGGGAGAAAGTGGAGATGGAAGTTCATGACAGAACATGACTAGAGAACAGGAATTGAGGTCTAAGGAGAAAATAATTGTCCGTCGTTGTCAGGGCTCGATCCCAAGGTCTTTTGAATGAGAGGCGAATTCTAAACCTCTAAACCAGGAGAGTCCCAATGTTCTTAGTGATGATGCATAAAGCATTCCGGAGTTTCCCGGCCAGCGTTGATATCAGGTACACACTGGACGGTAGGGTCTTCTTGTAGACTGCAGGCACAGACAAAAATTAGCATGATGCTTGTCTTTCTTTCTTTCTTTTTTTTTGTTTTGATGATGCTTGTCTGTAAAGTGCTACTAGCCGATGATTATGCCTTGCTTGCTCATGAAGAATTCAGCACAAAACACTGTGTTGATCTTTTTTCAAATGCATGTTCAACTCATAATGAGCACAGAATAGTCCTCCAGTCTGTCCCTGGTGGTAAGCAGAATCTCCCTATTGAAATCAAAACATTGAACAACGTTAGTCGCTTCAAATATCTCGACAGTTTACTGTCCTCAAACCCCACATAGCATAGTGTAGAAAAGGCTTTACATGTGAATGTAGCTAGTGCATCTATTGGAAGACTCAGAGCAAAGGCTTGAGGAAGCAGTGGCATTTGCAGAGAGACAATGTTGAAAGAGTTTGAAATGTTATGCCGCGTGTGACCTCCCAACCGTGTTGTACGTGCCAAGACCTTTTTTTTCTAAATTAATGTTAGTGACCTGCCTTCCTCTTCTCCGATGAGTCACGAAGGATGCGGGCACCCGCTATCCCGTTCCCAACCGTAACCATCTTTAATGTCACCGTGGAGTTCCGATATGGTGAGCACAGTCTCTGCGAAGGTGACCTTGTTAGTATTAGCCTATTCTAGCGGGCCAAGACACGTGAAGAGAGGATCTAAGCATGTAGATAGTATAGTGGCAGGTATGTTGTAGGTGGCAGATTGCCAAGCAGGTTATAGACTTAATAAAGCACAGTAGTCATATTCTACTCCCTAATCATTTATCACAGCTATTCCTTTCGACTCTTATTTAAACATGAAGTTGCTGAGATTCTGACACAAGATCCTCGAAGGTGCCAAGGCCTGACAGTGCACCAAAGCCATGCCAAGCAACTTAGTCATTTCCATATCAAATGCCCCAGGAGAATAAAAGACGTGAAATGGCAGAGCAAAATAACAGGCATCGAAGTTCTCAAAAGGGCAAATGTCGAGAGTTTTCTTAGCTCAAAATGAATCAAATTCGCTGGGCTGGGCTGGCCATGTCATAAACATTCCGGATTTTAGGATAAGAAAATCAGCCATCTATTTTGAGCTGTATAATAAAGTGTTGCTGAAACACCACGACATGTCTCTCAAAGATTTTATCATAAATCCTTAAACATAGGACAGCCTAGTTTCGGCCAGACTAACTCGAACAGCAGCAGTTAGAGACGTTACATGAGGTTTCACGAATAATAAAATGCTCTAGTCAAGAGAGAAACCTACAAGCTGCACACATTCATAAGTGAAAATGAAGCTTTTAAATTCTCAAAATACGGGCATTTTTTGTACTCCTGCTTTGGTCTCAATGGTCATAGCAGACGCACCTCGTCAATTTAAACCTTTTCCCTTTTGCTTAGGAAATATTCTACTCGTCAGATGTATAGATAATCCTGAGACATTGTTGCACGAATTATTATTGTTAGATTATCATAGTACGTCATTTAATCATGGTTTTTGGATATGATTTAAAATTCAGAGTGTGATTTGAACTTTTGGTTGTTTTCTTTAAAGACAGCCCCTGATTCATCAATAAGAGTGAGGTATATTGTGACGAGCTATTTTTATAACTGTGATGGATATTAATAATAATAATTCGTCCGACAATGTTTCAGAATTATCAATGTATCTGCCGAGAAGACTATATTATTATATGTGTTGAACGCCTAGCTAGTTTATCGTAAACACTTGAGCCAACAAAAGGTGAAATTCTAAAACTGAATCTAAATTTGTTAAATCGCTACCGATCTATTGTGATAAAATACATCAAGCCTCAAAAGGGCATTCTTAAGTTTGGTGTTCCCCAAGGTTCAGTTTTAGGCCCGATGCTTTTCACAATGTATACACAACCACTTGCTGTTGAAATACAAAAGTATCAACTCAGCTACCGCTTCTACATCGATGACACACAGATATATGGCTCTTTTCATCCATGCGACACCGATGAATTTATAGAAGGAGTAGAGAAATACATTGAAAAAGTGAAAAAACGGATGGGAGAAAACAAATAAATATCGAATGAAAAAAACAACAGAAACTGTTCCATTTGGGAGTTCAAAAAATCTTAATGATGTTCATAGGAGTCAGTTAGAAATTGAAAATACTAGTATATCCTTTTCCAACAAGGCCAAGAGCCTAGGTATCTTTTTAAATTCAGATACGTCCATGAACAACCAAGTAAATCCTGTTATTCGATGTATGTACCTTGATCTCAGAAGAATTAGTAAGATAAGGCACCTTATTTCAACGGATGTTGCATGCATGCTCTCTGTCCCTCTTGTCTTGTAAAAACATGACTACTGGAATTCTGTTCTGTCTGGTATTTCATGAGAACGAATGAGGAAATTGCGAGTGGCTCAAAATAAAACCGCAAGACTAGTATTGAAGAATGTTAAAAGCTCTGCATTGGCTTCCAGTTGATAAATAAATCCAGTATAACGTTCCTACCATCTGTTATAAATGTCTTAAAGATAAAGCTCCTTCATATCTATCTGAGCTTTAAACACTGTATGTTCCACATCATCAGTTACGGTCATCCACAGATGCAACCAAACTCAATGCCCCTAGAATCATATTACGATCTTGTGATGAGAAAAGTTTCTCATTTGTTTCCCTCAAAATCTGGAACACCTTGCCCCAGGATCTCAGAGGTATAACAAATTTTGATACGTTTAAGCGATTGCTCAAGACTCACTCGTTTAATTTTTAGTCATAGTGTGTTGGAAAGTGCTGATATGTTTTGTTTTTATACTGCAGTCCTTTTGGGTATATAACTAATTTATGGTTGTGGTTGTTCTTCTTCGTGCGGAGGAACTGGTTTTTCTTGTTTCTCTGAAATACTTGCTCTTGTGTGAATAATCATGTGATTGCTGTAAAACGCTCAGAGCGTATACTAGTTTGGGATAGAGCGCTAAATAAAAGCAATTTATTATTATTATTATTATTATTATTATTATTAAATCATTAGAATGTTTACGCCTTCGGATAATATACCAGAAAAAAATCCAAAGAGTCACGTGTCTTGCTAGTGTGTTTCTGCTAAAAGTCTCCTATTGGACTCCAGTGAAATTGAATGAATGTTCTCTTTGTTCTCTTTTTTTAGGACCACTACGCTTCAAGGCACCTGTAATTCCAGACGCATGGAATGGAGTCAGAGACACAGTTACCTTCGGGAACGAATGCATACAACAACTATTACCTGGGATTACTCTTTACAACGGGTACATTCCGCCAAAAAGTGAGGACTGCTTGTATCTTAATGTCTACTCTCCCACACAAGGAAACGCTACAGGTCTAATGCCCGTCATGGTGTGGATACATGGTGGAGGGTACACTTTAGGATCAGGATCCCAGTATGATGCCACGTCTCTAGCAACAAAAGGTGTCGTCATCATTACGATCAACTATAGACTAGATGTTTTTGGGTTCTTGTCAACGGAGGACGACAGGATGCCTGGAAATTACGGAATGCTGGATCAGATTGCTGCTCTTAAATGGGTGAAAGATAACATTGCTTCTTTTGGAGGTGACCCAAATCAGGTAACCATTTTTGGAGAAAGTGCTGGATCGGGAAGTGTCTCTCTCCTGACGTTGTCACCTCTCGCCAAAGGTCTGTTCCACAGAGCGATCATGGAAAGCGGTGTTTCTATTTCTCCATGGGCCTTCCAATTCCCTGCAAATCGAGTGTCCGCTCGAATGACAGCCAGATTGATCAGCGTGGCAGCTGGGTGCGACGACTTGGACAATTCAACTTCACTTTTGTCCTGCTTGCAGCAAGTGGATGCAGAAATGTTGCTGAACGTTTCTATTGCCGTGACCAAAGCTGTAGATGCCGGTATTCTAATGGCTCCTAGAGTTGAGACAACATTTGGCTTCTTGCCAGAGTCGCCAGTTACACTTCTCTCACGGGGACAGATTAACCATGTAGACACTTTGAGGGGATTCAACAGTGATGAAGATGGAGGGTTTGTTCCAATATTTTCCCAAAAAAATCCGAAACCGGTTACATTGGAAGTGGCAAAGCAGCAAGTTATTGCACTTTCTCTAAAGCAGTTTACCAACCTGGATCTTCAAAAAGTTTTAAAACTGATGCAGTCTACTTTCCTCACTAATAATTCAAGCAGTGACGTCATTCAGAGATTAGCTCTGGATGCCTTGGACAGTTTTGAGTTTGTGGGTCCGACTCTAGTGGAGCTAAACAACGTTGTGCGCACTGTCCCAGAGAAGAAACACTACATGTATGAGTTTAACTACAGATCAAGTTTCAGCACAGCACCTCAGTGGATGTCAGCTCTACATGGGGAGGAGCTCTTCTTCGTTTTTGATGTCCAAATAAAAGAGTGGGCCGACAGTGGCTATGGTCCTCCGGACGCTACGGACATTCTGGTATCTCAACAGATGATGGAACTGTGGACCAACTTTGCCAAGACGGGGAATCCAACGTCAACTGTGCCCAAAGGAGGAGTCACGTGGAACCAGTACAGCCTAGCGACACCGTACTACCTTTGTATTCATTCTGCTTCCGAGTCAAAACTGTGGTCTAATCCCCGGGACGTTGATTTTTATCAGAAATTTCTAGAGACGATGGATGAAAGAAAAATGCCAGTTTCTCCCATTATTGGGTAAAACTAAACGAGACAAATTGTCTCATTTTGAAATAAAAATGACTAAGCATTACAAGGCCATGTGTTTAAAAGAAGTCTATACAGTTGTCTCCGCCTAAGGTCCCACCGCTTAAGACTCTGCTGTTTTAAAAAAACTGAATTTTTACTTCACAATTTCACCCCTAGGATTCGCTTTGATTCACTCTGAAACTATACATTCGGGTAAGATCCCACACTTTAGATCATGATTTACCGAACAAAACTCAGGCGGGCACCGCCGATCAAACAAGAGTGAAAAGTTGAGATCATTGAACTACCCGACGAGTCAAAGAGCAGCCACTCTCAGGAATGTGATCACAAAAGCGTTATAAACTTGAAACAGTACACTGTTTGCTCTAGACGGGATCACACTGAGGTGTGAACTGACGAAGCGTTTGTTTTTTCCAATCATTGCACTCACATCTGAGCTCTCCACATAAACTTACACTACTCGCTGGGTGGATAGGGCCTACAAGTTATCTCCAGGCGGGATCACATCGAACTATGAACTCTTCCCTGACCGTTGCAACAGGTCTCTATTCCCAAATTTGTGAGCCACACTGAATTTTAATTGATGTTATCACAACGCAATGGTGCGTTACGACAAAGGCGGGGGAACTCGGTCAGAGATAGAAAGTGAAAGCTATACATTTTGAACAGGTAAAAAGGAGGGGAAACTGAATAAACGTAAATCTTGAGACTCATAATAGGATAATAAGTGAACATGGCATGCTTACTGCCACTGTGATTGGTCATCAAGGCTAACCACTCTTTGCTCACCGTCATAAACCCACCCAGCGGTCACGTCTGTTCATTTTAGAGTGAAGGGAGACCGTTTTACCGGTTGTGGGCCTAAACACAGATCACTTCAGATTATTTCTTCGCCTTATCTCAATAAAAATTGTGAAATAGTATGTGTTTAACGCCCTTATCAACACTATTTGGTTATTTAAGAGGCGGGATCTCCAAATTTAACGTCCGTCTCCGTTAGGACAGAGCCAAGTGGGAAGTTTGTGTAAAGTGCCTTACCCAAGGACACAACGTCGGACCGAGCTGAGGCTGACCATAATAAATGATAAACCTGATCGAATGCAGATGTCATATTGACTATATTGGGTACTCTTCAGCGTCTGTCAGATGGCATGCATTAACATTTTGATCCAGTGAGTTTGACATCTCCAGTTGACACCTGAAACTTTTTCATGTCTGTGTCAGGCTGTTCGTACACTTGCTTGGCTAGTTCCTTTTTTTTCAACAGTCTCCAAAGCCGCATTGTAGCCACCAATATGAGTTCTTGGGATGCATTGGGAACATTTAGGTTGTCCTTTACATTGAAGGATTTTTGCTTCCTATGCTGATGAATCTGTCATGGACAAGAGCTTCTCTCTACTAAAGAATACACCCAACACCATCTCCCGTTATGTTTCCCTAAGAAAGCTTGGTAAAACAGTTCAGGCTGCAACCACGAAAGTCAGCCAACCCAGTTCCTTTAAAGAGTAGGAAGGAGTGTATTCGTATGCCATTTTAAAAAATGGAATCCCCCCCCCCCCCCGTAAAAAAAAAGAAAATAATAAAATAAAATAAAATTGGAACAATATCCTTAAATAGAGTATGGTTTTCCTCTTTGATTTTGACAAGGATTTGGTATGTTAGGCTTGCCGCTAACCTTAAAGGCAAAAAGTATGGATTTTCTTGCTCTGACCGCGAACATTTTTTATGACATCATACAGAACACACTTACTTGATGGCTCAAGGTATGTAGCATGATTGTATAATTAACTTTTCTTGAGAGGAGGCTGAGAGCCTGCTTGTTGGTCTGAGGGAGATCTGTTGTCATCATTCTCTACAAGCGACACTCAGGAACTTCCGGATGGACTGCTGGTTCACGGTTACTTTCTATTGGACATTTAGTTAGCAACTTTGCAGTGATTTCGATTCTCAATATTACTAGTAGGGGACCTTGGTTGTCATAATTTCTTTCACTGGCTTCTTAAAACTGTAGGTAACTTTTGTCGTATGAGCCCTAGTCACATCACCTCATGATGCATCGGCTTTGAATAGAGCTTATCTTTATCAACGATGACAATAGCAAGTTTTTTCCATTGGCAATTTCTTTGTGGAAAAGTAAAAGATGTTTTCATATCCTGCAAATCCATACAGTCCAGATGCTGATACATGTATCAGCCATGTATCAGCATCACTTTTGAGAAGAGTATCCGTCAAATTTCTGCTCCTTTTGACACCGTGCATAGGCCCACTTATGCCTATCTTAACGATTGTGCTCGCAATTTCTCCACGTGCTTAGTAAATCAGCATTAAAGCTAAACCATAAGTTGTTGGCCTATGCATATTTTTTTCAGATTCTTGAGCAGTGGTATACAGTTACGTTTCAAGAGTAATGGGGCCATTTCTTCACTTTCTTCAAGCTCTTATGTCAGGTAGCCACGTTACTGAGCCTCTTTCCTGTATCTGTTACACAATCGAGGCGCAACATTTTGGATCGCCTACCGGTCGCTTATCCCAAGAGCTTGTATCACTGACCTGATATAATCTTCCCTTCCTTTAATATCACACATCAACTCATGTTTGTTCTTTTCCTTTTCGTACTGAAAGCCTATAGAATTTCTGCATTTCTTAGTACGGAACTCTGACCGATATGCCGATTTCATATCCCCAACTGCATACCCACAGTCATCGGGAAGGTGCTTGTGATCTTCAAGAAGGGATTTCAATGAACGTATATATTTGTCCTTTAAAAATTTGTTATGCTATCAAAACGTTTTGAAAAAAAAAATCTGAAGGATTTATTTTCTAAAGACGAAATTGCCGAACCAGACTCCCCACAGCCTTGGGATACGTGCTTGTTTCAGCATACAGGGTGGTAGCTGATGTTTGCAAGAGAACCACACAGGAGGAAGTAGACAAGGACATTTTTGACAGTCCATCCTTAATGTCTGGATCTTCAAGCCAGAAAAGTCTTGCCGTCGTCTCTTTCCATTTAAAGTTCAAGGGTTTTTTTAAAGTGTGTGAGCGGGTTGTTGTTATTTTTTAAAGTATTACAATTGTTGTGAAAGAATCAGAAAGTGCATGAAATAGTTCCACGGGACATCTGTTCACTGAGTGGATTCATAGAGATCACACATTTATGAAGCCCTCACCACTTTCAGATTTTGTTTTCACAGTGTTTCACGGAGACTGGTTTATATATGAGAGGGTTTGAGTGCCTTTTTCAATACGTGTGTTTAAGCAAACACTCACACAAGACAGACACATTGTTCTCGTATTTTTAAAAAAACAATTTTTGGAGTAAAAAATAAGTGTTATACTGACATAATTTTCTCATTCTTTATGTTGCATTTATCTGAAAAGAAGAGAAATACCAGTTTAGAAGCGTGGTGGATACAAATAAATACCTTTGGGGCTAATATATTTGATTAAAGTACAAGTAGTGCATTCTTTACCATCCGCAGGCAAAATGGGACAAATATGCCTCTTCACCGTAAGCGACATCTATGAATGAGGGAAATAAGTATGTTACTGTTGGAGACAGTGTAGTTAGCGGTGCGTAGCTTAGTTTCAAAATGCTAAATTCGAATCAGTTTTCTTATAAGAACCACATTTTAAAAAAATATTAGTATATATAAATTGGCAACGCTAATTCTATATTATTAGTATGCGTTTAAAACTTGCTCTAATGGAACATCCGATCTTTCGGGGATGTTTTTACTTTCAATTCATTGTCAAGGAATGTCAAGTTAAAGGTTTGGTTACAACACGCACAATGCCTTGATCGCATTGCACCGAAATGCCATCCGGGGAATCCCGCTGTGTTATAGGCAAAACTTTTGTGGGACCTTTACGAATTTGTTTTGTTCTACCTATTTCGGTAAGATAACTACTAGATCTACAGTAATGCACCCAACCTGTTTATGTGTATGCCACTAGTGACTAAATGGACGAATCCAGTTCAAACAGGTTTCAAATAAAAGATCAAAACTGAGAGTGATCAGTGATCATGTCATGATTTTGGAATTGTGACAAACGCGATCGGAGGCATTGTCCCCAAGCGAATGTAAACAAAACAGTCCATTGCGGTGATTATGCTAGCCAGTTACCTGAACTTTTTTTGCATGTTAACACGGTACAAAGTTTACATGTAAATTATGTACAACGCCCACCATTTTCAAAGAGGCATGGGAGCTAAATTCTCTTTTTAACTCATAAAGTCTCCAAAAAGCCAAAGAACGCAACTTCCGCGCTCCACGGTCACGGAATGTTTCATTTTGCTTCAACTAAATAGCTTAGACGTATTAGATACGTAAAAATGTTTATGTTTAATGAAAAAAAAAAAAAGTTATGTTTCAACCCCTTGTTGAGAATAATGAAACAATTAATCTTTTTTTTTAATAGTAAAAATGCAGATTCATGGCCAAAAACAATATAGGTAACTCGAATGATACCACTGCAACAAGCAAACTTCGTAGCATGCAATGTGAATGTTTTACGCCGCCATTAAAACATTATTTTAGTTAGTAGGAGAACTAAGTTGTTTAGATCCTGCCTGTAAAGACCTTCCCAGATTGACGGGAATACATAAAAATGTTGAGAGAAAGACAGAGATTCTTTCTAAAAATACCCCCCCCCCCCCCCCAAGCTGAGGCAATAGAATCAAATCCTTACACTGTGCAAAACTGACAAAACAGAAAGTCTAACTATATAGAACGGCCTCCAGTAAACAAAAGCTAGACATTTAACGGGTAGAGGATCAGAATGGCTCCCTTCATTACAAGGAGCAAGAGCATCAATATAAATATAGTCCAGATCTATGCCCCAGCAAATGATGCTTCGGATGAAGACAAGGATGCCTTTTACTGCCAGCTCCATGGTGTCATTGACAAACTACTGAAGAAAGATGTCAACACAGTAATGGGAAGATGTCAAGATTGGTCAGGACAACGTAGTATATGAGGGAATAATGGA